GTAATCCCATGGAGCCAGATAACCGTAAAAGGACCAATATAAATTGCGAAACGTTATTCCCAGACTGAAAATTACATCAGTATTACTATTTTGTATCCAGTAAACAGTTCTAACCCTCACATCCATCTCTTTTTAATAATTTGATTCCTCAGCTTCTTCGACAAGGTTTATCTTTGTGGGATGTCACCAGTTGCCTAAATGGCTCACTAGTGACTTAAAAAGCACTGTCATCCCTAAATACCGGAATGAACTATTGACAGCCTTCCGGTACATAATTGCTATTTTAAAAGCACTTCAAATGAATTCTTCATCTCTAGCAAAAAGATTAAAAAAGTAAGGATTTTGAGTTAAACTATGAATGAAACACAGCTTTCCTAACATCCTTTCTTTGCCAGAAATATTTTAAGAAAGTCTATACGTGGTGTACGAGTTCATGCGCAACATGCGACTAGACTTTTGCTTAGAAAACTTGCATAGGGCTGAAAAGTTACCTGGAGTAAGTTTCTTTCATCTGCGTGACACTACCATCAGCCGTTTGCACTCGATTTCCCGTATAAGCCTGATACATCGTATTGACGCCCAGTGAAAAGCATAACATAATAATGGCTGATATTGACAAAAATATCACAACATCACGAATACATTTTGAGATCGAAATCTGAAGTTGAAAAATCTCGTGAAGAGACAGCTAATCCGAGAAACCTTATTACCGGCAGTGCATAAATATGCATTTGTTCTTGCAAAGAAAGCACCATTTTGTAAATGGATGAGCCTAGAGGGAATCGAAGCACTCGTCTTCACACTCAGACACAACTGCTAAATTGTGTCCAGTAATAACTAAAGCACATATCTATGCACCTGTAATACCCTTATGCATAATCTGTATCATCTGATTGCTGACTTTTGCGTCCTTTAAAAGCTGCCAGCTTAAGCATGGAAATTCGGCGAGATTTGTTTCACTCCATCTAATTAGTTTTTCGTTTGAACGATTGTGTGGAAACAGGAGAGAAGCCCAAACAGAGAAGAATGGAAAAATTGCCAGTTGCATCAGAGGCGGAAAGAAATGCGACAGTTGCTAAAGTATGCTAATTGTGGAGACAAATCACTGCATGTGAAGCGTGGTACTGGCATCAACAGTTGTAGTAGTAGAAGCGAAACTTCAGAGATGAGAAAAGCCGAGTCAGCAAAGCTTTTTTTTCTGAGTAATAAATTCAGCTTTTTTTCATTCGACATTTTTGTTTGGAAAAGTCAAAACCCCTTCGCATCAGCTCTTAATGAAAAGCAGAAGTACTCTGAAAGTAGCCCGAGTAGTAGCAACTGCCAAAAGCAACCATTCGCTTGCAAAGCTACTGATAAACTCACTCCTTTTTATGCGTTTTGTGCTGTGTAACAGCAAAACGCATATTGTTACGGGGTTGTCTGTGTGTGTGTTTGTGTGTGTGTGTGTGTGTGTGTGTGTGTGTGTGCGTGTCCGCAGCAACTTGTCCGCAACTTTCAACTCGGGAACCACAAAAGCTAGGAAGCTGAATAGGGTAACGTTTCCCACCCACGTGTGACCCCACAAATTTAAATTCAGCTTCCCCGTACCCACGGGTAACGTGTACGGCCGGACGTTCCCCACCCATGTGTGACCCCGCAAATTTAAATTCAGCTTCCCCGTACCCGCGGGTAAGACGTTCCCCACTCACGTGTGACCCTTCAAATTTAAATTCAGCTTCCCGGTACCCACGGGTAACACGACCCACCCACGTGTGACCCCGCAAATTTAAATTCAGCTTCGCCGTACCCACGGGTAACGCGTACGGCCCCCTGAAAGTTTTTCACGGGTAAGTAAATATCTCGGGAATATGGAACTAGGAGGCTGAAATTTAGGATAATGACTCACTGCCCATGCTCAACCTTGCCCATTCAAAATCAGCCTTCCCTTACCCGC